GCCCCCGCCCTGTCGGAGGCAGGTGGCGGGGGGAGCCCTGTCAGCGGAGCGGGGCTGACGGAGGGACGGGCGGGGAACAGCGACGGCCACAAGCGGGGCCAACGGCTTCCTCACCTTGAACATGGCTCTGCCGAGCGGGCGGTACACACCGGCCGCGTCGCCGCGCTGTGACGTCAAAAAAAATGGCCGGTAGGGGAGGTGGCAAGGCTGGCAGCACGACCCCAGAGGCCGGCTCAGGCTCCGCCCACCGGCGGCGCGGTAACCTGGCAACGCCGAGGGGGCGTGGCTTCCTCATCACTCGTGTGGCCCCGCCCACCAACCTCCGCCTGCCGGCAGCGGCCGCGATAGCGGCAGCGGTGGAGAAGAATGAAGGGAGGAAAAAAAAGGGGGGAAAAGGAGACTGTGTACGGCCACATTCAGGGAAAGGAGGCGCCATGGCTTGTGCAGACTAGGCGAGGACATGGTTTCTATCCATTGTTAATATTAAAAGCAATGCAAGCATGTATTCATAAAGGGGAGTGCATGAGGCACAGTTTTAATTGTTGTTTAAATCTGGACTTTGAACTTGGATCTTATTTTGAGTAAGTGCTTACTGTGCACTGGAAGAAGCTTAGTAATGGAAAATATTCCAAATTTCAGTTTCTACAATGCAGAAACATCTCTTTAGAACTTACGTATTAAAAAGAACAAAGTGCCAGCGCGCCAAAAGCACATACACACTGTTCTTTAGACTTGCAAGCCCGGCTTAGTGTGTTACCTTGTGGCCTTTATAAAGTTTATTCAGAGACATCTCAGTGCCAGTAGAATCTGTTCCTCTGTTGCGGCTCACTCTGTCAGGAGTTGGAGTGAAGGGGCGATGCAAGCTGCCTGACTTCTGAAACCTCATAGGAGCCCCTGCTGCCTGGGCAGGGATGGGGTGTAGGCTCTGCCACAGGGTTCACAGCAGCGCCTTTCTGCTTTGAAGCACACTCTGTCATCTCCTCCTCCTCCCCGCCGTGGGGAAAACAGCCTATGCGCCTCATTTAGATATATAGGAACACCAACAAAATGTGGCTCCTCTCTTTATCAGGTTCGCCAAAATATTATAGTAATTTAAAACTATTGATTTTAGAGTATGAAGAATAGCACCCTATTAAGTCCTGGAAAATGTTATAAAAAAGAATTTTTACATACAAAGTAAAGCACCTGAAGAACACAGTAGCAAATAGTTCATCAGGAAGGGTATTGTGGAAAGACAGATGAGGTATGCACCCTCTTACAATCTTAAATTTTTCTGATTATAATTTTTATTATTCCCTCTTTAAGAGAATCCCTAGATTTCTTTATTGTAGTCACTTTACAGACCTGATAGAATCAGCTATACCAGGAACAAGTATTTTCCAGACTAATGGGGGTGTTTAGCCATCGCATTGCAGAATTGGGTGATGCTTCTCAATGAGCTGTTTGTAAAATCAGCAGACAGTCCTTCTCATTTGTTGGCACATTGGATTATTGTCAGAAGCAATTTGAGGTGAGATGAAAAGACTTCAGGTTTGTGGTTTGTGTCTTTTTTTTAAAAGCTTATTGTGTTTTTCTGCTGTATTTCACAGGCAGCTGCTGGGGTTTGCAAGTTAATGGGGTATCAGAAATACTATGAACAAATGGTAGAAGATGAGCTTCAGTACCCAAACCACGGGATAACAGATTACAATGATATTTTATTACATATTTTGTTATGAAGTTTCCCTCTTTAGCAAGGAAGAGTTATTCCTAACATGTACATGAATGACCGTTGGGTGAAGAATGCTAATGGACCTCTTTCTCCATTGTGTTTATGCTTTGAGGAGAGTCAGTTATATCTGTGGAATACAAGCAGCCAGGGTGCGGCAAATGTGTGGAAAGCTGATTTTGCAGTATTTTATGGCAGTTTTGTGAGAGTACGGAGAGTGATCAGGTAGTTTGTAAAGCCGTTGCATTTCTTGATGCATTTCATTCATCCTGAAGGAGTTAGAGAAAGAAAATATTCAAAGCTCAAAATGACAGTAAAGCCCACAAGTGGAGTGATGGCACTGAGGTTTGGCAGTGAATATTGGCACCTGCTCAGGTTAGTTCTCGACCAAAGCTAAATCCCAGGCTGTGGGTGGGACTGGCTGTTTCCCGGTTTTGCAGAGGACAGACATAAGAATACTTCAAGTGCATTCTCTTTTTTTAGTTTGGTACATGAACAGTAACGAAAATTCCAATTGTTTCTACACATACAATTGTGTATATCTTAAAAATACATATTTTTGTGATCAATTTATATTCAATTACTACACAGCAATTATTGACATAATTATGTAACACAGATATAAATATCTGAAGAACAGATGGCTATTTTATAAAATTATTTTAACCAAATAATTTTATCAGCTCCAGCATCTCCAGTGCATTTTTTTCTTTAATGTGGAATCTAATCTTTAAAGTGATTGATATGACCAATTAAAAAGAATGGGAAAACCTTTATAGAGAAGAACAATACAAATATATTAGCTTTCCACTAGGTGTATTGTTCTCTTAACAGTCTACCAGTAATCTGGATAAAAGCCCTGCGTACTCTGGTGGCAGGAATAACTGCTGGATAAGGTCATCTCTACAAAATTTCCCTGGGACAACAATAATATAAGCCACAATGGATTATGCACAGTCCAAAACATTGTCAGACAGGCTTAAGAAGGTGCTAAAGTTTCTTCTACTGAGGCCACAGAATAAAGAGCTCTGGCATGATTGACTCCTGCATGAAACTATACCAAGTTTCAGTTTTATTTTGCATGCCACTATCTTTCCCTTTCCTTGATAAGTGACTTTTCTAAATACTTGTGAAAGAAATACTTCCTTTAGGAAGTTGCAGCTCAGAGAGGCTTGAAAATGTTGCCACATTCATAAACTGTATTTCAGCCCAGGCAGAAATACAATTTAAGAAACTTAATCTCTAATCTTTTGCCTTAGCCATTAGAGTCTGAGCTTTCATAATGTTGCATTATAGTGCTTATTTACAGTTTAATTTTTTGTCAGGAAAATAAAAGCAGTCCTTTACTAGCAATACAATGACAGCTATTTGCCACACATTTACAGGTATAGTAGAAAAAAAATGGATTTGTTGCACATTTCTGTTAAAATGTGAGTTTGCAACATCTGCTCATTAAATACCAGTGCAGTTACCTACTCACACAGACCACTGGAAAACATAATTGTGAAAGGCTGGCATATTTTGATGTTCTCCTTCATGATAAATCTTGCTTTATATTAAAAAAAAATAAAAATCCCACATTCTTCCATGCACCTTTTATTCATTAAAATGAGTGAAATTTTGAATACCCTAACTTGCCACTACAGTTTTGCCAGACTGTTTAGAATTCATTTTTAAGATCTTTATAAAATAAACTGCTTTTCTGCCTCTCACAGCTTTTCTGAGTTGTGTATTAAGTTAAAAGAATGCCGTTTGGCAGATCTCTCTTCAAGTTTTTTTGAAAATATGTAGTTAATAGGAAATACACCCCCACAAGGGCTCCAATAAACTTTCAGGTATTAAGCAGCTTCACCTAATGCCATGAGCCTGGCTTTCTAAAATGCTCCACACAAATCACAGTCAGAGGTGACACGTCAGATACACAGCTTTTCTAGATTGGTCTCCAAAGCACACGATCCATTTCTCACATTCCCATCACTTTCAGCACGTATCTGTTGAACAGCTGATTGAACTGGCTTTTATAGCAGTGAGTGATGATGGACCTTTCCCAGTGCCTTTATGAAGGGAGTGCAGTTCGCATATTCATAAGAATATTCTTTCATTCTTTCTACTTTATTCACTTCCCAACTTGTTAAAAAAAAAAAAAAAAAAAAAAGGAAAGGTGTTGAACAGATTTTTGTATTTAATGATATGGTTTTATTTGGAGTGAAACTTACCTTGTGCTTTTGCTTTCCATGCTTAAGGTGGGTCATTTTTCAATGTTTGTCATAGGTGCTCTTTTAGCAACTACAATGTCTGAAGTCAGACATTCAGAAAGTAAACTGAATGTTAAGGACAGATGCCATTGCAGAGCTCTTTGTGCCTTCTCACTGACCTACCTTTAATTGCATCAAAGGCATTACTGCATTCACACCTGGAGTAAACCAGTATTTGAATTTCAGCCCATGCTCTGTTGCATCAACTTTGTCACATTCTGACAACATCCAAAATATACTCAGTGCTTTCCAAATAAAGATCCTATATTCTGAGACAGGGGACAGATAGAAAAGAGAAACATACCATGCTAAAAAACCAGTGTAATCCAACTGCATACAGTTTCACTTTTGATATTGCCATGGTTAAACACCCAAATGTTCCTTCCCCAATTCAAATCCTTGACTTCTCACTGCAACCATCAGTAGCTCTAGTTCCACATTTTTCTATTACTCCCTTCCAGCACCAACAAATAACTCTTCTGATAAAAAGCTGTTGATAGTACCATCAGAGATGTCAGCTAATGTGTGGTGTAGCAATCATATTCTAAAGCACAGATATATGCTATCATAGTAGTGAGAACACAAACACATTTCTGATGCTCTTAAGCACCCATCACAACAAAGTCCAAGTCCTTTCAAAGTTCAGATGCATCCTTATTTCAGCCAAGCTGGATACATTTTGGAAATCAACTGAGGCTAAGAGGTAAAAGGTCTTGCATCTGTTGCCAGTCTCTAGTTATTTAGTGCATTAAATCTTTTTATCTTAAAAACTGTTTTCACAGTAACCCTTAATTTCTTAGCAAGATGATGTGAGTAGCTTTACCTCATTTGCCTATAAATGTATTATCAGAATCTTCATAAATATATATATTAAATGTAGTCCTTATTTACCTGAATGCTTCTAGGTCTACCAAATAATTTCCAATTAAAGGCACACATTCCTTCTTTTACTGTGCCACCTCTTTAATAATTAATGTGACATGCTGAGCTTACTTTGTTAGTTATAACTAACTTTTAGGATGATCCTTTTTGAAGGGTTTTAATTTCTATTTTACTTTCTACTAGGGCACATGATCTAGTTCTCCCAGGAATGAGCAGAATGCATTATATGCTTACTATATATACACATATACCATTACATGATTATTACACTCTATTACTGAAAGTGTTCCAGTGTCTTCGATTTCGCTGTTAGGAAATTGCACTTAAAATG